AGAAAGACCAGCCTTCAACCTAGCCATTCTCTCATAGATTCGCAGTTCGTGTTGCTCTCTAGTAGCTGAGACTGCGATGTGACTATTGACCTGTGCCCCAATTGATAAACTATTATTAATATATATATGCTTGGCAAACACCATGAAGTGCCTCAAGCCTAAATAATACGGATAAAATCGATGACTTTGCTAATTGGATAATCATTTATGTTTTAAGTAAACATGCCAAATAAATGCTGCTTTAATTTTCTTTAATGTGAGGATTTAAAATGTGTCTTTCTCTTGACTAAAAGTATATTTAATTTGTTTTGTTGTTAAACAGTTGCTCCGAGAGAAATTAGTTGCTGCCCTAAAGATGTCCTATTAAAGAAATTGAGACTTTGTGATGAGTTTTAACTTGAATTCTTTTTTGGTTTAAAATATGTTAAACTTAAAGTGGACCTATCATGCTATATTTGAATAATATATTGTAGGGCCATACCTATACAAGGTATATTTATACGTTTTCTTTTTCAAAATACCAAACAGATTATGCATTTTAGCCATGCCTCATTTCGCTCCATTTTGCTGTCCTCCACCCTGTCTTTGCATGCGCTGCAGCTGACCACGCCCCCCTGCAAAGGAGGGGGCCGAGTTACGAGCGTCGTGTTACCATGCTGTTACCATGCCACGGCAACCTCTCATTCCCCTGATAGGTCAGCTCCTACGTCCTGACGTCAGAGAAATGTTCAAATCTGGATCAGTCTGTATCAGATCCGTTGCAGCCCCGTTTTTAGAGATTTGGGTATGGAGGAAAATAGAGAGGGTTGTGTTTTCTGACACTTGGTGAGTTCCCTGGAACACCGGGGACACATATTCATGTATAAAAGACGTACAAAAGTGCATTTTGCAAGATAGGTCCCCTTTAAGGTGCCGGTAAAAGCTTTCCCAGCAGGTTTGAACAATAATCCACTCACTCCTTTAGCATACTTTAGTTACAAAACTACGAAACACCTGTCTTGTGATTACAGGGGTACATCTCGCTTTTTGATGATGAAAACGTTCCTAAAACAGAGCACCCACTCTCTGTTTTGTAACTAAGGACTGAAGGGGAAAATTATCGCCGTTCACCCCAACCCTGTTCAGGCGCTCCATGTTTAAACGTTCCAGACTTTGACTCATTTAACATTCGAACGAGCAACAAAGACAAGTGCTCTCCACAGTCCTGTCTGAAAGAGGTGCCAGGTGTTAGGGTTTAATCGGCCATCAGGACTTCTTGTCATCAACATCCCACCTGTCGCTTTGATTCAGCTCAATCTGCCTGCTTGTCTGTCCTTTTGAAGTCATCCTGCCTCACTGTCTGTTTTTGAGACTTCCTGTCAGCTAGTCTGGCAGTTTGAGTATCTGGGTGTCCCTGATGGCCATGACACACGAAGCTATAAAGTGTCGAAATGATGACGTGTTTTTGTACACCAACGTGGAAGTTAGCATCGCAGGGCTTCCTTGACACAATTGATTTTGGGATAGTGCAGGAAATAAGATCTGTGGCAAACACACTTTTATGATTCTTACAGAATTTGTGTTGCTGGGAAACCTCCATTTATTAAGGCCACTATATGATTTGCCACAAGTAAAAAGCTAACATTTCACCACAAAAGAGCTCCATCCCAGTCACATGGCTGTGCATCACCACAGCTAAGCTAAAGGCCAATTTGTGTTTTTGTAAGAAAGCAACATTTTGATGACACTTTGGACATTCATGATTGAGGTATTTACTGATGTAAATGATGTCACACGCAACTTTTCAGCCAAGACCAAGGCACCGTGAGACATCCCCGCTAGTTTTTTGATATCAGTTAATGTCAAATCTGGGTAGATTTGAGTATTTGAACCAAAGTAACAGCAAAAATGCAAAGTTAATTGGATACATTGTAATATGGGCTGATGCAAAGTTTTTGTTTTGTGTTGTTTTTTGAGAAACCACATTGCACACTTACTGTATTTTGCTAAGTCCTGAATACAGGCTCTAAAGTGAGTAGCATTTGTACTACCTAACTTTTCAGACTAATTGGGAAGAAGCATTTCCCCAGAGTTTAATTTTAATATACATTCTGGGTATAAAGGTGCCCCAGCAGTGCTCAGATTGTGGACTAATTGCAAAATTACATAATGATATATTAGATGAGCAACTGCTGAATACATTTTTTTAACCTCAAGATGTCCTTTCTTACCAATTAGCATAAAAATGAGATATATTACTGAGAAACCAAAAGTAATTTCCCACCCTTAAGCAGTAGCTGAAGAGTCCGTCCTTTTTGGAAACACTTTTTAGAGAGCGGGACTCTCAGTCATTATTACTTGCAGGGAAAGTTAAAGTAGAGGCCTCCAGCTGTGCTGTTAATATCTTTGGGTCAGTTCAAACTTATCGAAAATAGGAGGCAGAAATGACCCAACTAGACTTTAAAAGAGCACATGTACCTGCTTGAATGAATCTCTATGAAGTTCAAATTCATTTAAAAACAAAGAGGAGTAATTTCCACTTCAAACAAACCTCTAAATCATACAGTAGAGAGGAGTGAATGTGAGGCTGGCAGCGGAGCAGTATCTGTTTGAAGTGAAGGTCAAAGAGTTGAATATGAAACAGCAGCTCCACTGACGTCTCTGTAACTGTAAAAAAAGATTACCTCAAGGTGTGACTTTTGTTGGTAGGAAATATACAACACAATGAGTCTAGGGCAGCTTTGTTACTGTCTAAACTGTCATTCAGCTGGACTAAAGGCCCGGACACACCAATCTGACAACAAAGAACTGACACAGACGGACCCCGACTGTTGCGTCGCCTCACGTCTCCTGCGTCTTGGCCATGTGTCGCACTGGAACACACCGCAAAGACTTCAGCCGACGGCCAAGAAGCACGTACGAACTGCGCATGCGTGAGTGGCAATACTCTCCTTACCAGCAGGCGGCGGTAGTGTGTATTCGTCATTCAAAAGAGGCAACAACCGGAAGACAGACTGCGTGATACACCGAGAGAAGAAGAACAGACTGCGTGATATAAACAAACAACAAATAGCGTGTGCGTTCCATTTTCACTCTACAGCGAGAAGCTCATGGGGCTTTCCCGAACCTGTGTCGAGAGCTGGAGTTAAATGAATTCTCAGATTTGCCTTCTTAATAGGTTGTTTGGGTCCTTCACTTCCGTTTCGCTTCTCATGCACTGATTCGCTAAGCTGAACAGCCAATCAGAGTGATTTATTTTGCCGTTTCAACATGTTGAATCTGCGGGTTTTCGGCCGAAAAGGCGTCGGCCCGGCTGAAAAGACCCGACGGTGCGGGACACACCAATCTGAGAAGGGGGCGTGTCGACGCTCATCGTCGGCCTGACGCCCACCGACGCCGATAATCGGCCTGGTGTGTCCGTGCCTTAAGGATCGTGTACCAACACAGTCTATGATTTACTGGAAAAGGTACAAAAGCAACAAAAAAAATAGTTTTAGATGGTTCATCCATACTACAATGTTTTAAAGTCTTATTTCCTCCTGAAGCCCTGAACTAATTATTTGATGAATTTTAGTTACGCTTAATTTATGTTTATAGTTTAGCAGTTGGATATATTTGTATTATCTGCACTTCAATTTGCCTGGTTCTGCCTGGGAATTGCAGTTTCATGTTTTTGTTTACCATGTTTGAGCACTTTTGAAAGGGGCTGAATAAATATAGTTTACTTTTGTTATCGTCTTTTCACTTTTGTAAATCCTCTGAAGGTCAGATTGATAAGAGACATGTGAGAAACAGAAGTAAAATGAGCCAAACTACCTTGAGATAAGGATAAACTGAGAGTATAACAGTCTTGATGCAGTGATGGACATTTCATTGAGAGATGAGCCAAGCCCATTCTTGAAGGAATGAAAGGAAAAAGGCTCCGGATGTTTTGCCCACTCTAATACTCTCTCCACAAAACACACCCTCCCTAACAGCTTTACATTGGAGACAAAATGTGTGTTCATGTGTGTGTGTTTAAGTGTGAAGGCCAGAGAGTAAGACACTGGAACGTTGCCATATCAGGAGTTGAGCACAGCAGGGCAGGCAGAACCAAAGGTCTGTCCCACAGGGGGAGTTATTAAGGTGTTGCGCGAGACCCACAGGGAAGAGAAAGGGCAGAAAGGAGAGATCATTACCCATAATGTAGCAGAAGAAGAAGTCTCGCCCTTTGCAGCGTGAAAGACCCACATGCACTCTGATAACATTGCTTAGAGACGATATAGCTCAGTGTGCTTCTGCTGAGCGGAGTGCAGAGAAAGTAAATGTGTTGCTGATGTTCACTGCAGTTTGTTTTTGGTGTGAGAAAAATAAATGAAGACCAGTTAGGTATGAGAGAAGAGAAACAGCTGAACTGAAAACTGACTTGCAGTAATATAATTTTCACTGTTATGAATGAAATACCTGATGATGGCAATGCTTAGAACTAAGCTAATCTATTTCAGGTCAATGTATTGTCATTAGTAATTAGATCTTTCAACAAGATAGTCCTGAGCCTTAAACCGTTTGTCATAAACAAAAGGTCTTTGCCAGTAATTAGTATTGATCAGTTCAGTTTCCAGCTCTTAAATAACATTATTGTCAATTTCCACTTTGACTTTTTCTGAAAGCTCTGACTGCACTCCCACAAAAATGTTCCAAAACAAATGTGGAAGCCTCATGTCAGCCAAAAATCAAGTTCAACTATACCTTAATTTAAATGTCCACATATCTCCACATGAGTAAACAGAAAACGGATCCCTATAAAGTCCTTAACATTTACATTTTTTCCATCTTTGCGTTGGTTTGTGGACTTTTTGAGATGAGGGTTTTCACCCGTTTGCTTACTTGTGATTTGCAGAGTACTGTGAGTAGTTGAGGACGTTTTCTTTTTGGACAAATAAAAAAAGAACAAAACTTGAACAAGAATCTCTTTGACGCTATCATGAGGGTGCTGGTGTTACTTTACAGTTTAAATATGCAGCATATATCGCCTTATGTACCTGGTTGATGATGTAGATGCCGTAGTCGATCTTCTGCCGCCTGAGGATGGGGTGGAGGTAGTGGAGCCAGTACTTCAGGTGGTTTTCTCTGTGACGGAACGGGATGATGATGGCCACCTAAACACCAGGGACAGTTTGGGTTGGTTGCTTGTTTGCACTATAAAACATTTTCATCATTTGGAGAACCATTGAAATGCAAGAAGCTAAATAAATCAGTTCCGGTAAAGAAAAAGAAATGAGAATAATCAGTCAAGATGAATCATTTGAAACGTTTCTGTTAACTTGTAAACATGTACTTTTGTGTAGCACTTAAAAATGTTTGGCTCATTTGAAGCCAATGCACCAGCACTTAAAATGTTTTCACCTATCAAACACTAATGTACTTGCCGGATTCTTGCAGTTATATGTCGGATGTTCATGGTTGATTTCACTAATTTGAAGTCGCTTGAATAAAAGTGTTAGCTAAATTAAATGTAATGTACATGTATCATTCTGTGTTTATTTGATTATTAAGCTTAAATTAGTTTTGTTTCATCCGACGGTAAACTGTTCTGCACCAGGAAATCATTTCTGTAGAAATCTCCCGCTGCTTAATGTCACAGTAAAGTACATAAAGCTGGTTCTCATTCATTATGAATGAAGAAGCTCAAGGAAGCAGCTCTCGATGGCAGTGCAGATAAGAGACAGATTTGATGCCCTCCTCTATCTCTCTTTATTTTAAATGAGTCGTTCTCAGCTGTCCAAACAGTCCAAGGTTAAACTGTAATTTACCGTGTTGAGTTCATGCTCACGGTAATTTTGCACTCAGATGAAGACAGGCAGCAGATCGACCTTCGTTTCTGTATAGTTAGGCATTGTGATGGGTGACTGGTGTCATTATTACTGCTATGAAGCTCCTTGACCTCCGAGAAGTATCATGTGGAGAAGAGAGACTTACATGACTTGACTAGACTTATATAGATGACTATGCCGAAATATGAGAAATATACAAATATAACAATTACTTAGTAAGTGGACATTGTAGGGTAATTGTTTTATCTCCTGTATAGTTACTCAGTTTTTTATGTCCTCATATTTCTGACTCAAAGTTTGGATAGCCAATTTCATAACTTTTTCTATTCCATCATTTTGATTCAGTACCTCATAATTCTGAGCATACATTTTATAAAGACTTCTCTTTTTTAATAGTTATTTTCTTGGCAAAACGGGCTTTCATAATAAAATGTGTGGATATTCAGAGAGAGAGGAACAGACCTTCCATCTAGGCCGGCAGTCAGGCGGCGTGTAGCGCCCCCCCTCCGTCACGTTGGGGTTTTCCTTCTGCACTCGTTCCATCGTCATCTGGGAGCCGAACTCGATCAACAAACGGCCCACTGAGGAAACAAGGAAAGAGGGAAGAGTTAGTGAGATGAAGAGGATAACAGAGTACGCAGAGGATAAAGTGGAGAGAAGAAACAGAGGAGAAGAAAGTAGCGTGGGGGTGTAGGCAGTGAGGGACCGCTTTTAGCTTCAAAGCTATGCTGCACGTGTATCAAAACAATGTGTGCAGAAATAATGGTTTCAAGGGATACGCTTCGCTTAATGCAGCATTTAATATGGAAAACATATATTCCAACCAAATAAACAAAGACTTTGAAGTCACTAAGAGTAAACACAACACGAAAGGTAATTACGCTGCTCAGTCATGAAGGCCCTCCATATGTTATATCACCACAAATCTATCAGTCATTCCTTTGATTGCTGACGGATCAAATGCCATCAACGCGTGTGTATTTGTGTGCATGAGTTTGCGGGTTCAGACTAATTTAAGAAGAAGGGTTGTCTTTAAATCTCTGGCCCGCACAGTAAATACAGCCACTCGTTCAGGGAGCCGCGATCATTAAAATATACGAGCTGAGCTGGGCTCCAACCAAAGTCCTGCAACCATAACCCTCATTATAACACACCAGACTCTGAGTACTCCTTCTGTTGCAAGATGTCACTCATTAGTGCATGTTTTTCTTCAGCGGGAGTGTCAGAAAAATAACTCATTAGACAATTTACAAGGAGAAATACACATTACATGATGATTCCAACAAAAGAAAAGAATGTCATGTTGTGGAGGACACTTGTTCAAGGATGTTTGTACTTCATTACTACCAAGAAGGTACTCTACAACATGTAATGATAGTTGTATCTATGTTTATTGTTGTGTGTAATCAATCATACTGTATTGCCATGCTTCTAAGCAACATGATACTACAAATACTGGCGGGCAATGTTCTGTATTTTCAGTTGGTCTCAACAAATCCCATGAAAAAGAGAAAAACAAGCAATCAATGGATCCTGCTACAATCATTGTCAATGTATCCAAAGTAGGGCTGTCAAGTTAACGCGTTAATAACGCGTTAACGCAAAAAAAAATTAATGCCACTAATTATTTTAACGCGATTAACGCATGTGTATTTTTTGTCCTCGGCCGCCGTAGTTTCAGAGCGCATCGAGTGTAAAATACCATCGACAAGCTGATGCTGACAGCCCCGCTCCTGCCGCCCGCTTGTGGCAGACCACACTTCCACGCTCACTGGCAGGCCCGGACTGGCCATCGGGAGGACCGGGAGGGAGTGTGTATGTGTGGCGCGACTCGCGCGAGCGAGGCACACCTACGTGTTGTTGTTAGCATCTGGTGCTAGCTAGCTGCGCTAACGGATATAAGGAGCTGTTTCAATGACATTTCGCCGACAACTGCGCCGAGCACTTGACTTTATGCAGGTAGCCAGACAGTGGGACATTGTACGAAAAGTCAGCGCAACATTATTGCAGCGTCCAGGCAGCTCCCATTCGAGCATATATGCCTTGAGCTGCACATAGCTCAACGATCCATCACAGTGTCTATATATATATATACACACACACACACACACACACACACACACACACACACACACACACACACACACACACACACACACACACACACACACACACACACACACACACACACACACACACACACACACACACACACACACACACACACACACACAGTATTATTGTATGAGAGAAGTTCCAGGTTGAATTGAGACGAATATTTGTAATGTTCAGGTTGTTGTGTTTAATATTCATGAGAATATTTGTCATTGTTCAAATGATAATAAACAAACATATAAAGCATATTTGTCCACTCATATGTTGATAAGAGTATTAAAAACTTGAAAGATATCCCTCTAAGGTACATTTAGAACAGATAAAAAATGTGCGATTAATTTGCGATTAATCGCGATTAACTATGGACTATCATGCGATTAATCGCGATTAAATATTTTAATCGACTGACAGCCCTAATCCAAAGCAATAATGGCATGTTGTGTGATTTATTTTAAATCAGTCTTACATACACAATTCTGCTGCTTTAGATACTCACTAGAGACTTGAGTATCAATCCGCGACTTAAAATAGTCCTCAAGAAAAACTGAAACAGGGCCCAGTCTGCTCTCATTGGTTAGCTAGCCGGCTCTGGTGATTGGTCAACCACTAAAATAAGTCCCTCCCCTTAGCCTATCACGCACAATGTATCTGAGCGCTAGCCGTTACATAGTAATGTCACTGGATTACAGAAGAAAACAAAAGAGTCCAATTGATGCGTTGTGGGAGAGAAACTCCCTCTGGAGGGAACTTTGGGATTTCAACCTTTGCAGACCATTTACATGAACAGAAACCTATATAACACACTACAGGAAAGGGAAAACCCCAAATGCACAATAGGATCCCTTAAAGCAACCGCCATTACAAATATTCTGTTTCTATTGATATACAGATCATGTATTTATTGTGTTGAAGTACTGAGTATGAGAGTACTGAACTACAGCGAGAGAGAGCAAACCACTTAGCATGCATGTATTATCTTCGTGTTGAGAGGTCTCCTCCAATCAACGCTGCACAGGCGAGGAGCCTGATCGATGGCAACAAGGTTACATGTTTATAACACACTTCTTCATCTAACCCTCAAGAGCTGAATGCAGATAGAGTCAACAGCCTCTTCCCCTGACCACTTCTGTCCATCACCCTCCACTCCACTCCACTCCACTCTCACACACACTCTTCCTTCCTCACACTAATGACACTAGCGTTCAGAGAGGCGACTATCAAAACACATAATCAGCATTAAAATCTAACACGCCACGAATGAGCAAGTGTGAAGGAAATGTTAAGTGTTAATAAACTGATAAAAATGCAACATATTCAAGGCATAGAATAATTTAAACTTGAATAATTTAATTATAATTTTAAGGAATAGTCATCATTGCCGACATTTGCCAAGAGAGAGGAATGATACCAATTTCAAGTTTCAGTACTGAGCTAAAACATAGCGCTTTGCCTAGCACACAGATTGGAAGCAGGGGAAAACAGCCAGCTTGGCTTCGTCGAAAAAGTGAAAACACATTCTTACATAACCAGCACCTGTAAAAACCACTCAGATATGCATAACCTTTTACGATAAGCTGTACACAAACAGAACAAACTGGGGTTTTATGAGGAGTTATGTGCTGGAAAGTGTTCTAAGCTAAAACTTCCAGGAGTTGTGTTAACCATGAGAAAACCAGCAGAGACGTTTCATAGAAGTTGGATATATAAACTGTTTTTCAAGATAGCTACATCTACAGCACATAGGAAAACCCTAAGAGGTATTTGTTCTTTATTTCTGTGCTAGCTGTTTCCCCCTACAGTCTTTGAGCTAAGCTAAGCTAATCACCCTCTGTCTCCAGCTCTGTATTTAATGCAAAGACAAGATACTGCTTCCATTTTTCTCATCTTTTCAGCAAGACAGATATAACTATTTCCCCAAAATGATTAACTACTAAACTAAACTAAACAAAACTAAACTAAACAAATTGTTGTTTTTGTTATGCATTTACCACCAACACACTTCGACAAATACGATGCTATTTGGCAGCAGACATAGTTTGTCGTGTAGGATATAAACAACAGGAACTCGATTTTGTGGTTGCCTAAAGTTTGCAAAAAGGACAACAAATGATGAGCAGCACAAGAACTGACACGCGTCACTCTCACTGCTTAATTGGCGTAGCTCATCTCAAACGCATGTTGACGTTTTGATATAAATACACAATGACAGGTAGGAGGTCAGAAAGTTCCCAAGTAGTCCGGTGACGTGAGTCAAGGATCTTTTTTAAATAAACAGTGACATCATCCTGTTTGACTCTCACACAGAAGAGATGAATAATACAAAGAGTGTGTGAGAGACACAGGGAGGAATAGTGTGTCTTAGGGCTGTGCGATTATGGCAAAAATCATAATCACGATTATTTTGGTCAATAATTGATATCACGATTATTAAATACGATTATTCATTGACTTTGAAAACATCCATTTATTGAACTTTAAAACAAATACAAATAATAATTTGAACAGTATCTTATAACTGTTGATTACCCTGAACGTATAATTCAACTGAAAAACTTTAAATAAATAATATCAAAATAATAAATACCAATAAACAAGATCAACAAATATTTTGGAGCGCACTTCCAAAAGCTACTAATCATATATAAATATGATAAATACAAATAAATTAGACCAAAATAAATTAGATCAAATATGTTGCAGTGCACTGTCACAACCTAGCAAAGCAAAATAATTGTTTTATTCGATTATGTTGTTTTCGTAATTGTGGCAGGCCAAAATCGTAATTGCAATTAAAATACGATTAATTGCACAGCCCTAGTGTGTCTAAAGAAAATGGAAAATAAGGGTTTGAGCTATTGTTTGTGGAGGAACAAGTGATAAAATACTGTTGTAATGTGTGGAAGTAGTGGTGCAATTATCTCACACACACACATAATATATCTCATGCTTATCTATTTGGTGATATTACAGTAATACATTATAATCACGCCGCCTGATCGCTCTATGGGGGGGGACCCACTGCACTTTGGGGGATACATCACTGCTTTGTCTGAAAGTAATATACACACACATTCTGTATACACACAAAACAATAATACACCATAATAATTAACCAGTTCTCTGAGCTATTAGGTTTGTAGCAAATGTAGCATCACAGTACACTGAGAGCAGACCTGAGGCAGATCTTGCAGAAACAGTAAGAAGAGAAAAATGAAAGCAATCGAGTGTTATTGTTGGTTTTGAAGGGTTTCTATGACAACTTCAGATTGTAGTGCATCTGTTTCTCTCTCCTCCTGTCTTAGTTTGTTTAACCTTCTCACCACAAAACTCGAAAGGACACTGAAATATTGAGGAAAACGTTCACACTTCCCCCTCCCTTCCCACATCACATTCACTCTCTCTCAGGCCACTGCTCCTAAAGCTGAGATCTTTGTGGAGGTTTTAACGGTTTCACCTGGTTTCTGAA